GTCAACGGTTTAGAAATCGAGTTTTGATGTTCCTCATCCCTCCCTGTTCCTTTTTCCTCGCGTGTTGTGTGATGATGATGGTGGTGGTGGTTATTATTTTTCCCCAGATTGTAAGCCTGTGGGTAGAAACTGTCTTGTTTTGTATGGAAGCGACTCTGGGAGCCTTTTGGAGAGCAGCGGTAAGGTAAAGGTAAAGGGACCCCTGACCATTAGGTCCAGTCGTGACTGACACTGGGGTTGCAGCGCTCATCTCGCTTTATTGGATTAATTGATATGTATATGTATAATCTGGAATACTTAATGTGATTTGGTTGGATTGTTAAAATGGAAGACTTAATAAAAATGATTTTTTTAAAAAAAGTTTGTTATTGGTATGAGCTTTCGTGTGCATGCAAATGAAGAAGAAGAAGAGTTTGGATTTGATATCCCGCCTTTCACTCCCTTTAAGGAGTCTCAAAGCGGCTAACATTCTCCTTTCCCTTCCTCCCCCACAACAAACACTCTGTGAGGTGAGTGGGGCTGAGAGACTTCAAAGAAGTATGACTGGCCCAAGGTCACCCAGCAGCTGCATGTGGAGGAGCGGAGACGCGAACCCGGTTCCCCAGATTAGGAGACTACCGCTCTTAACCACTACACCACACTGAAAACTCATACCAATAACAAACTCTCTAAGGTGCTACTGGAAGGAATTTTTTTTATGTTGTTTCGACTACGGCAGACCAACACGGCTACCTACCTATATCATACATCTCAACTATGAGCTGAAAGGAGCACGGCAGGGTTATGGTTAACTATGCCCTACTCAAAGTAAAGGTAAAGGGACCCCTGACCATTAGGTCCAGTCCCGGACGACTCTGGGGTTGCAGTGCTCATCTCGCTTTACTGGCCGAGGGAGCCGGCGTACAGCTTCCGGGTCATGTGGCCAGCATGACTAAGCCACTTCTGGCGAACCAGAGCAGCGCACGGAAACGCCGTTTACCTTCCCGCCAGAGTGGTACCTATTTATCTACTTGCACTTTGACGTGCTTTCAAACTGCTAGGTTGGCAGGAGTAGGGACCGAGCAACGGGAGCTCACCCCGTCATTGCGGGGATTCGAACCGCCGACCTTCTGATTGGCAAGTCCTAGGCTCTGTGGTTCAGCCCACAGACCCACTGAAATTAACGAACCTCAGTTCTTATCTATGAACTTCAACGACTCTACCCTTGTAGAATGCCACCCATTGTATCTTCATCCTGATGCAGAATTAACACACCACACCAATTGCTTTTGTTCAGTTATTCCTCTCTTTTTTAATCATTTCCCCCCCATGCCAACATCGCGTTCGGTTCTTAAGGCGTTTGCTTCTTCCTCCAAGAACTCATATGCTTTCAGCCGAGAAATAAATGGTAAAAGAAAAACGTACCTGAAAGGCAAGCAAAGGTTGACATCGTTTTGCACAATAAATTAGGAGAGGGAGGGGAATAAGATGGAGATGCCCTCAGCGCAATAGGTAGGATATATTTTAGGGTACCTAAATAAATATCATAAGTTACTTTGAATAAATAGAGCTCAGCATAATATACAGTGGAATTGCATCAACTTCTCAAGGTAAATCGATGGGCGGTGTTGACACCAGGTTTGGGAGACCCTCAAAGCTCCCTAGGAACACAGATTGTTGGCTTATGCCAGGTCCATCTAACTCAATATTGTCTACACAGGCCAGCAGAAGCTCTCCAGAGTTTTGTTTTTCCCAACACTAAGTGGAGACCACGTGCTCTACAACTGAACTATAGTCCTTCCCCCAGCACATCTCTAGATCGCAGGGAAATAATACATTGCGACAGCAGCCCTTTCTTTCCATGTTAAGAAATTTCTTAATGAGAACCAGTAGTCATCGATGGCTTTTGATGGCTGGTGGCGGCTAGCTATGACACAGCTGCAGGTCTGGGACTGAAAGGAAATGGCTCGGAAGTTGGAATGTCACCAGCAGGGGTGCCAAGTTGAACAAAACCTATAAAAGAGGGAAGATAGGGTGCAGCAATAATATTGTATAAAAAAAAATACCACGGGAAATGGGATGGGAAGTTGATAGAACCAACAAAAATAAATTATTATGTATTGGAATTTTATGTGAAATTTGTGGGAATTTAATAAAACTTGAATGGCAACGCCCTTTTATGGCAACGCCCATATTATTATGCCTTGCTGTGGCAGCCAGCAAGGCATAATAATAATAATAATAATAATAATAATAATAATAATAATAATATATTTATACCCTGCCCATCTAGCTGGGTTTCCCCAGCCACTCTGGGCGGCTCCCAACACAATATTAAAAACACGTTAAAACATCAAACATAAAACATCTGCCTTCAGATGTCTTCTAAATGTCAGGTAGTTGTTTATCTCTTTGACATCTGGTGGGAGGGCGTTCCACAGGGCGGGCGCCACCACTGAGAAGGCCCTCTGCGTGGTTCCCTGTAACCTCACTTCTCTCAGGGAGGGAACTGCCAGAAGGCCATCGGAGCTGGACCTCAATGTTTGATAGTGCTTTGATACCATCTCCAGAACCAGGTGGGGAAGGGATGGATGGGGGGAAAGGCTGGTGGGGAAGTAGAGAGGCAAAACACCTCCCCCCCCATCCCAAATAGTAAAGATAAAGGGACCCCTGACCATTAGGTCCAGTCGTGGCTGACTCTGAGGTTGCGGCGCTCATCTCGCTTTATTGGCCGAGGGAGCCAGCGTACAGCTTCCGGGTCATGTGGCCAGCAGGACTAAACCGCTTCTGGTGAACCAGAGCAGCGCACGGAAACGCCCCTTACCTTCCCGCCGGAGTGGTACCTATTTATCTACTTGCACTTTGACGTGCTTTCGAACTGCTAGGTTGGCAGGAGCTGGGACCGAGCAACGGGAGCTCACCCCGTCATTGCAGGGATTCGAACCACCGACCTTCTGATCGACAAGTCCTAGGCTCTGTGGTTTAACCCACAGCACTACCCACGTCCCATTCCCATCCCAAATATTTTCTCCAAATTGGCCCTTCTCAAGAACATTTTTCTGGAGATGTCATGTTTGTGGATGCAATCCTGGCCCTGCGGTTTGGACCTCTCGTTGCCCAACAATGTCAGCGCTCTGTGGGTTGATGTCATCTGGACGCTTCTGGGGCAGTGGAGCCAAAGAAAAGACAGGAACCTGGAAAGGGGCCTTCTCTACACGGCTACTCTCTCCCAAACATCTGTATCGGGACTCTTATTGAACAGAGGCCTTTCCTGGACGACGATTAGCAAAACAAAACAGAATAGAACGTGGGTGGGGTGGGGGGACAAAAAAGGAAAGACGGCAAGAATAAAAGGGAGCCTTTTCACGTACAGATGTTTTTTTCTACCCGCCTCGAATCTCACTTCCGCCGACCCTTTGGAAATTTTAGCACGGTGGAAACGGTCCATTTTCATGCAGAAACACAGTCCTGGGTAAGGAAGATCTTGTGAGAAAGGGGCATCTTTAAGGAAAAACTGCTGTTGACCAGGAAATGTCCTCCTGGCAGGCTGAATGGAGAGACGGATGGGAGGAACTCAGGGAGAGGGAGAGAGAGAGGCCCCTGAGCTAAACTGGTGCAGAATGGATGGAGAAGGAGGAGAAATGGTCTGGAAAACAGCTACAGGAATGGTCGAAGCACACTGGGAGAGCAATTGCAAAAGCTCCCAGGTTCAATGTATTACAGTATTTTAATATTTTTTTGGAGGCCGCCCAGAGTGGCTGGGGAAGCCCAGCCAGATGGGCGGGGTATAAATAATAAATAATTATTATTATTCCAGTAGTGATGTATGGAAGTGAAAGCTGGACCATAAAGAAGGCTGATGGCCGAAGAATGGATGCTTTTGAATTCTGGTGCTGGAGGAGACTCTTGAGAGTCCCATGGACTGCAAGAAGATCAAACCTCTCCATTCGGAAGGAAATCAGCCCTGAGTGCTCACTGGAAGGACAGATCCTGAAGCTGAGGCTCCAAGACTTTGGCCACCTCAGGAGAAGAGAAGACTCCCTGGAAAAGACCCTGTCGCGGGGATTCAAACCGCCGACCTTCTGATCAGCAAGTCCTAGGCTCAGTGGTTTAACCCACAGCGCCACCCGCGTCCCTCATCCAGCGTTCCTAGCTTTGAGCAAGGACTCTCTTACTTCCAAACTGGTTTTCAGAGCAGCGTTGGACGAAGAGCTCTGCGATAGTCAGGCAGCGTTTCACAGCAATGTCACCGTTGTTTACTCTGGAAGGATATAAATGAGCCTTCGGACTTCTGCCTTGGCCAAGCCAACTTCATTTGTCTCCCGAAAAAGCATCTCTCTCTCTCTCACCCCCCCCACCCCTCTTTCTTGGCCGCCTTCCCGGGCCAAGGAAACAGAAGACTAACTGTAAAGTCCTGCCGCCCTTCGCAGGCGGGAGCAAAGAACGTGGAATGCAAGAAAGCCCTATGGATCAGGGCAGCTGCCTGCTGTCCAGCCAGGGCGGACAACTAGGGCAAAACGCATGCCGCGAAGCAGAATAAAGGTTCCTATTTGTGACGAGAGGGGCACTTCCTTCCACACAAGCAACAATTCCTCGCTGACCTGCAAATGAATCAGGCCTGAGTCTCTAAGACTGGTGCAACTGCCTCAATCCCAACCTTGCCAGCAAAAGTGAGGCTGGGATCAAAGGATGCATGGCTGCTGCTCTCTCACAAGAGAGCAGGGCCCTGCGGGATTTGGACATCTTTCCACAGGGCCTGCAAGACGGAGGCCTTTGGTCGGTGTTCAGTTGGTGTTCTTTTCTTTCTGCATGAGAACAAACATTAAAGAGGCCTCCTAGCCTGCTCACAGGTCCTTTATAAGACCAGTGGTAACAGGTGGCCCTGGAGAATATTAACCACTCTCAATTTTACCCGTGGACTGCCATCTGTCCAGATTTTAATTTGCTCTAAACTAATTTTAAGATAAGGGACGCGGGCGGCGCTGTGGGTTAAACCACAGAGCCTAGGGCTTGCCAATCAGAAGGTTGGCGGTTCGAATCCCGGCGATGGGGTGAGCTCCCGTCGCTCGGTCCACAGCCCTTCCCTGAACTACCTCAAGATCCCAGAGATTGAACTTTGGACCGCCTGCATGCAACGATGCCTCTTTCCCGTAAAATCCATTTAAGCACCTAGTCCTCATGTTCTGAGCAGATTGAAACAACAGCGCAGGTGCCTTAAACTGAGTCAGGTCCACAGAGCTCCACATTTGCCCAACCTGCTGGCAGAGGCTCTCCATGATTTCAGACATAACTGGAAGCGCCAGGAATCGAAACCTGCAAAACTCTGCCACCAAACTCCAACGTCCCTCCAATGTTTAATGTGGAATATTTGAGCCCTTCGGTTTCAGAATCCCCCGGACGCCGCCGATTCCGTTAAGAATTTGATGCAATGCCTGGAAAGGAACTGAAGCCTTTTTTTGTACACATTTGTCAATACTTTAAACCTATGTCTACATGTATATACAAACATACATTTTACACAGCACTGTTATAACGGTGTGTGTACTTTAAGATGGCGGCAGGATGGCTCCCCTGCAAGTATGGGAGGAGCGCTCCTCAATCTCTCAACCCTTCTTCGCCCGCAGGATTCAGAAGGCGCAGCACGGGCAGGAACGGCCCCTGGCACCCGGGCCCCACGTGGAACCATCCCCGTAAAGATCTCCAGCTTGGGCAAAGTGGGCATTGCCCACGGGGCGGCTCCTCCAGAAGACCACCAAGCAAGAGATCTCTCTTGTTTTCGATCCACGACGTTCCTCCAGCCAGCTGCGTCGAGAGTGCGCCGGTTCCTCCATCGCGGCAGCGCAGCGGGCTGTTCTGGCGAGGCCCTTGACAGGATTCCTTGCACCGCTGGAATCAAGAGCTCCCCTGGCTCCCCACCAGTTGAGGAGGCCCCCAAAGAGACGCTGGCTTCCCTTGGCCTCCGTTGACGGCCCTGAGGTAGACTTAAAATCCAGTTGCCTCCTTGGCTGCTCCAAGCGGGGATGTCCTGGTGGTCTTCTCCTCGCGTCCTCTTCCACCTTTGGACAACCACCTCTGGGCACTGCTGGGTGCACAGCCAGGCCCCTCTTCTTCCAACCTTTGCTCCATCACACACAGCCGCACTCTTTGGCCGACACCTCGTTCACCGTGTAGTAGCGGTTCCCTGCGTCCAAGAAGGAGACGTCGTCGTCGTACGACAGGGGGCGGCAGCACGGCCGGGCCCTCACCTTCTCCTTCTTGATCTTCCGCATGCTCCTCACGTTCTTGAGGGACAGGTCGTAGTTGCGTACAGCCGAGTCGCAGGTGCCGCTGCAGTAGCGGAAGAGGACCGTCTCGTCCGACTTGTACCCAAGGCCCAACTCGCTGACAGTCACCTCCAGCTCCTTGAGGGAGCAGGGCTTGTGGCGGGCCTTGGCGCGTTTCATCCGGTTGCCGGCTTTGGCAAAGAGCGGCAGTTCGTGCCCCCCCGAATTCATGGACTGGCTGTACCTCTCGATCAGCGTGGAGATGAGGTGGCGGATTTCTCCCTCCGTGTAGCTCTCGAACAACGTGCTGTCTGGAATTTTTTAAAGAAACGAGAGAAAATTAGAATAATTATAATAATAATTTTTGTATATAATTTTTATTAATTTTCCAATAAAAACAAATTTATAACACAATTAAACATTAGGAATTCATCACACGCCCTTTTTCTTTTAGACTTCCATCAACATGTCTGATAATTTTCCGTAGTTATTACATATCTTCACATTTCTTCATTTATATTGCACTATGTATATCTTATCTTACCATGTTATTTAAACAATATTTCTACCAAACTTTCAGAGCCTAGGACTTGCCTATATTGCACAGAGCATAGGACTTGCACTATATTATTTTCCGTTCAGCAGCCTAACAGCCCATGGACAGAATCTGTTTTTTAGCCTGTTGGTACGAGTGATTATGGGACGCTGTGGGTTAAACCACAGAGCCTAGGGCTTGCCGATCAGAAGGTCGGCGGTTCGAATCCCCGCGACGGGGTGAGCTCCCGTTGCTCGGCCCCTGCTCCTGCCAACCTAGCAGTTCAAAAGCACACCCGTACAAGTAGATAAATAGGTACCGCTCCGGCGGGAAGGTAAACAGCGTTTCCGTGCACTCTGGTTCGCCAGAAGCGGCTTAGTCATGCTGGGCACATGACCCGGAAGCTATACGCCGGCTCCCTCGGCCATAAAGCGAGATGAGCACCGCAACCCCAGAGTCGGTCACAACTGGACCTAATGGTCAGGGGTCCCTTTACCTTAATAATAATATAATAATAACATTTTATTTATATCCTGCCCTCCCCAGCCGAAGCCGGGCTCAGAGCGGCCAACAACAATAAAAGTAACACAGCATTCTAAAATCAATTAATTTTAAAATCAATTCAAAATCAGATTAATGGCAACCATTGGACTAGAGTTCTGTGAGGATTACCAAAGGAGGGGTCAGACTGTGCCTTGGCCAAAGACCTGGTGGAACAGCTCCGTCTTTCAGGCCCTGCGGAAAGATGTCAAGTCCCACAGGGCCCTAGTCTCTTGTGACAGAGCGTTCCACCGGATCGGGGCCACAGCCGAAAAAGCCCTGGCTCTGGTTGAGGCCAGCCTAACCTCCCTGTGGCCTGGGACCTCCAAGATGTTTTTGTTTGAAGACCGTAAGGACTATACTGAAATGGCAAAACTGACTGGGTGACTCAGGAATCAAGAAGATAATGACTTTAAAAAAAGAATGGGAAGAATTTATAACTTATTTAAGGTTACCATTGTTAAACAAATAAAAACGTGAGCTGGACTTTAAAAACAACTTGCAAAGAAACGGGGGGTGGGATGGATAATTCAGAGAGATGAAAACTGTGGAGAATGCAATGATATGTAGTTTTAGAATAATTATTCCTTCCAGTAGCACCTTAGAAACCAATTAAGTTTGCTATTGGTATGAGCTTTCGTGTGCATGCACACTTCTTCAAATACCTTCAGATACCTGAAGAAGTGTGCATGCACATGAAAGCTCATACCAATAACAAACTTAGTTGGTCTCTAAGGTGCTACTGGAAGGAATTTTTAAATTTTATTTAGACTACGGCAGACCAACACGGCTACCTACCTGTATCTAGAATAATTATGTTAAGGACCCATGCAGGGGACACGAGGGGAAATTGTGAGATTCAGAGAATCTCATATATGGATATGGTAAAAGTTTTTTTTCTTTAAAAAGAACCCAAAACTCTCCTGCCCACCGCCACAAACATGGGGCGCAGCCCTCTAGTTTTATTTTTGCATTAAATACCCTCCCCACCCCACAACCCGGTGTGCTGTTTAGCACGCTCCAAGCATCCAGCGTTTTTCCACAAAGGCAACTTGGCCTCCGCTCGCAAGCTGGATTTAAGAGCCTCCACGAAGCCTCCGAGGCCCTTTAAAGGACCCAGTGGCCGGAGGCTTTTATTCCGTTCCCAGGCAGGAAAGAAGAAAAGGGGACAGCAGCATTTGATTCCAATGACCATTCGCCGCCAGTACTTCGCTGGCGCCAATTTGGGGAAGGGCCCAGAAGGCTCGGTTTGAAACAGTCGGGGTTTGCTTGCTTGCTTGGCACGTTGTCATAATAATAATAATAATAATAATAATAATAATAATAATAATAATTTATTATTTTGCCGACAAAGGTCCATCTAGTTCAAGCTCTGGTTTTCCCCGTAGTGATGTATGGAAGTGAGAGCTGGACCATCAAGAAGGCTGATCGCCGAAGAATGGATGCTTTTGAATTCTGGTGCTGGAGGAGACTCTTGAGAGTCCCATGGACTGCAAGAAGATCCAACCTCTCCATTCTGAAGGAAATCAGCCCTGAGTGCTCACTGGAAGGACAGATCCTGAAGCTGAGGCTCCAAGACTTTGGCCACCTCATGAGAGGAGAAGACTCCCTGGAAAAGACCCTGATGTTGGGAAAGATGGAGGACACAAGGAGAAGGGGACGACAGATGGTGGGACAGTGTTCTCGAAGCTACCAGCATGAGTTTGACCAAACTGTGGGAGGCAGTGGAAGACAGGAGGGCCTGGCGTGCTCTGGTCCAGGGGGTCACGAAGAGGCGGACACGACTAAACGACTCAACAACAATTTATTATTTATAACCCGCCCATCTGGCTGGGTTTCCCCTTCACGTTGGGGAAGGTGGCCCCATTAGGGCAAAGTTAGCACTGCCCCTCCAAGTTTGTTCATCCAGCCAGCCCCCCACCTGCTCGCCTTCTTACTTACAGCTTCCTTCTCCTCCTTACATACCCTCCAACACTCCTCAGATGAAAATAGAGACATTTTTCACTCCCTCCCCCAGCCAACTGACCCTCCTTGACCTCCCTTTTTTTTTGCTGTTGTTCTCCTTCCCTCTCCCCACTGAAACTCCCGCACCCGATCGGAAGCCGCATCTGACATTCGGGTTCCAAAAATAGTTCGCAAACTGGAACACTCACTTCTGGGTTTGCAGCGTTCGGGAGCCAAAACATTCGACTTGCAAGGCATTTGGGATCCAAGGTATAACTGTATTATTATTATTATTATTATTATTATTATTATTATTATACCCCATCTATCTGACTGGGTTGCCCCAAGTGACTCTGGATAGCTTCCAACATACAGTCATACCTCGGGTTACAGACGCTCAATGTTGCGTTTTCTTCGGGTTACGGACACGCCGAAACCCGGAAGTAACGGAATGGGTTACTTCCAGGTTTCGGCGGCCACGCATGCAGAGAAGCGCTACATGCTGGTTGCGAACGTGCCTCCCGCACAGATCACGTTCGCAACCTGAGAGTCCACTGTATAGAAAAATTCCTGGAGGGTGATGGGATGGAGGTGGGGGTTGGAGCATTTCACTCTTCTCCTGATGTGTGCAATTGGTAGCTTACAGGAATGCCTGAAGGTAAAGGTAAAGAGACCCCTGACCATTAGGTCCAGTCGTGACCGACTCTGGGGTGGCGGCGCTCATCTCGCTTTACTGGCCGAGGGAGCCGGCGTACAGCTTCCGGGTCATGTGGCCAGCAGGGCGAAGCCGCTCCTGGTGAACCAGAGCAGCGCACGGAAACGCCGTTTACCTTCCTGCCGGAGTGGTACCTATTTATCTACTTGTACTTGACGTGCTTTTGAACTGCTAGGTTGGCAGGAGCAGGGACCGAGCAACGGGAGCTCACCAGGTCGCGGGGATTCGAACCGCCAACCTTCTGATCAGCAAGTCCTAGCCTCTGTGGTTTAACCCACAGCGCCACCCGTGTCCCTTCACAGGAATGCCTAGATAGAGCTAGACCAAGCCCTTCTTCACCCATCCCTAAGAGGGAGTGTCTTGCGGGCTGAATTTTGGTTTCTTCCTCCCGTATCTCCATGCCCTTCTTAAAGCGAGGGACCCAGAACTGGTCTGGCAGCACTCTGTCTCCCCTTAGCCTGGTGGCCCCCATCAAAGTCCCCCTCTCTCCTTCACAGCTGGAATTTGGAGGCATCCGATAACCGCAAAAAGCCTGATCTAATCGTATACACAAACCCACCCCAATCAACTGCCTTTGAAAGTATTCTAATCCATAGACAAACGTGCAATTAAATCCATTTTTTCAGGAGGTGGGGGTAGCCAAATGTAACCAATCTCAGAAGCAACCATGTTCCAGTCAAACAGTCCCCAAAATTCATCTAATCTCCCCATCCCATCCCAGCTCGGTAGTACGGGTCTGGATTTGATTGTATGCTGTCATAGGAGATCTCATGCTACCATACACAGTTTTCTAAGCGGGGATTTGCAGATGCAATTACATCAATTTTGCGCGCATGTGTGCAATCGTATAAATTTTGCATGCATGTGTGATGAGTCGATTTAGTCTCGAGTTTAGGATCTCTGTTCGGGAGAGAGTTTTACACCGGGATATGCTGCATAGAAGCCCAAGTTTATAATGATCAAGGTAAAGGGACCCCTGACCATTAGGTCCAGTCGTGGCCAACTCTGAAGTTGCGGTGCTCATCTCGCTTTATTGACCGAGGGAGCCGGCTTACAGCTTCCGGGTCATGTGGCCAGCAGGACTAAGCCGCTTCTGGCGAACCAGAGCAGCGCACAGAAACGCCGTTTACCTTCCCGCCAGTGTGGTACCTAATCATCTATTTACACTTTGACGTGCTTTCGAACTGCTAGGTTGGCAGGAGCAACGGGAGCTCACGCCGTCCCGGGGATTCGACTCACCGACCTTCTGATCGGCAAGCCCTAGGCTCTGTGGTTTAACCCACAGCGCCACCCTTGAGGAACCACCTAAAGAGGCCTGGGCGGCCACATTGAGACCACCTTAGGTTCACACCCAGCTCTGTCTCCTAAGCACTAGTGGACCCTCTCAAACAAGCCTACTCATTTTCCACCGGGAGAAGGAAGTTGTGCGCACAAGCTTACACTGGGAGATCAGCGATCCACGGCGTCCCAGAGCCCTTGGGTGCCTCCTGTGGCCGCCGGCGAGCGAGGAAGACGACGAGGTTCTCGAAAACAGCGACGAGGAGAAGAGGGTGTGCTCCTGGCTCCTGGTGAACAAGTCTCTACAAACCAAAACGGACAACATGGAACTGAAGAGCATCGAGGCTATAGCTGCCAGCTTCCATACCTTCATCTTAGACCAAGTCAGAACATTGAAACTCTGCAAAACAGGCAAAAACGACAGTCTTTATTACACCGGCCTGGGCCCTGGTATCCCTGCCCCACCCAGACCCCCTGCAATAGCATTCAAAAGAGGCGCACGTGGCATGGGGGGGGGCTTCTCCTCCTCCGAAAAATGCAGAAATGGATAAAAGCCTCCTATCCAAAGAATGACTATCATCAGCGCAGGTAAGGGGAAAAGATTCATTTTAATTTTTATCATCTACCATACTGTCTTATTTATTTTATAGTACGGTGCGTTGATTATTGCTTTCATTCTATGGATCAATGGTCTCGTTAGATAGTAAAATTCCTGTTTTAGGGGTTATTTTTAAAAGTCTGGAACGGATTAATCCGTTTTGCATTACTTTCTATGGGAAAGCGAGCATTGGTTTTGGAACGCTTTGGTTTTGGAACAGACTTCCGGAACGGATTAAGTTTGAGAACCAAGGTACCACTGTAGGGACACGAGCAAGACAGAGTACCATATGTTTAACACACATTTAAAGCAACAAACTATCCATATTTACCTTTCCTCCACTCCCTTCCAGACATGGTCCACACTTTCAACTGTGTTCATGTCCCGCCCCCCTTTTTTGCTTTGTAACTTTCCCTGCAAAAACCCACTCCTTAAAGCTGAATCAGAGTAAACATCAATCCACCAAAAACCCAGATTGCCATTTGCTCTGATGGAGCGCTAAAGAACAGGGTTTTACAGAGCTTTCAAGTGCTTCCCTGTTCCTAGAAAGAGAAGAAGAAGAAGAAGAAAGAAGAAGAAGAAGAAGAAGAAGAAGAAGAAGAGGAGGAGGAGGAGGAGGAGGAGGAGGAGGAGGAGGAGGAGTTTGGATTTGATATCCCTCTTTATCACTACCCTAAGGAGTCTCAAAGCGGCTAACATTCTCCTTTTCCCTCCTCCCCCACAGCAAACACTCTGTGAGGTGAGTGGGGCTGAGAGACTTCAGAGAAGTGTGACTGGCCCAAGGTCACCCAGCAGCTGCATGTGGAGGAGCGGGGAAGCGAACCCGGTTCACCAGATTATGAGTCTATAGCTCTTAACCACCACACTGGCTCTCAGCAGAGCTAAAAATTAAGTACAGCTAAGTCCTGGTAAAGGTAAAGGTAAAGGGACCCCTGACCATTAGGTCCAGTCGTGGCCGACTCTGGGGTTGCGGCGCTCATCTCGCTTTACTGGCCGAGGGAGCCGGTGTACAGCAAACACTGAGCCTCTTGGGCATGCCGATCGGAAGGTCGGCAGTTCGAATCCCCGCGATGGGGTGAGCTCCCGTTGCTCAGTCCCTGCTCCTGCCAACCTAGCAGTTTGAAAGCACCTCAAAGTGCAAGTAGATAAATAGGTACCGCTCCGGCAGGAAGGTAAACGGCGTTTCCGTGCGCTGCTCTGGTTCTCCAGAAGCGGCTTAGTCCTGCTGGCCACATGACCCGGAAGCTGTACGCCGGCTCCCTCGGCCAGTAAAGCGAGATGAGCGCTGCAACCCCAGAGTCGGCCACGACTGGCCCTAATGGTCAGGGGTCCCTTTACCTTTATTAGAAGCGAACAAACTTTGCAATCGCTATACTGTCAAACGCAGGAACGTTATAAATAGGGGAAGCAACAAAAAATTAGCTGATCCTAGCAGCCAACCTGTCAAACTGCAGAAATGTCTGAAAGCAGTAGCTGCCCAAATGGTGTCCCAAAAGAAACCAGTCAGTTAAAAACAATGAATGGATCTTGTGTGAGCTCTAAGCGACGGAGAACGCTGACCGTTGTTTCTCTGTATGATTCACGGTCTTAGGCTTGCTGCCAGGTTCCAGATCAGTAACTCATAACCATGCTTGCTCTCGGTTAAAATTCGCTAATAAAAATGTCAGCACAGCAGATCCCTCGTTACATCCGCTTCGACTCGAAAAGCAACTCCTGATGTTAAGCAGAGACTCTGAGACTGAGAATTACGAAAATGGTTCGTTTTGGCAAGCGGAGTTTGCTTCCCACCAAATCTTACTGTTATCACCCTACCAGGGAGCTAATAACATTAATCCTTCCCTGTTTAGGGAAGGGGCAGAAATTACTGTATTTTTCGCTCTATAAGAGCATAAGATGCGCCTAGTTTTTGGAGGAGGAAAACAAGAACTTCAAAAAATATTGGCGGGCGGCCAGGCAAGCCGCACCTCCCATACCACTATGGGGGGTGGGGGATGACTCCCTCAAATATTTAATGGGGGGGTGAAGGCACCTAGGCTGTTCACTTTACATGGTTGTAATATGATTCTGATATACCGGTTGTTTATTAAATAATTTAGTACAACATTTGATTCAGAATATTTTTTTTCTTGTTTTCCTCCTCTAAAAACTACGTGCGTGTTATGGTCAGGTGCGTGTTATAGAGCGAAAAATACGGTGAATGATCTTGAGCAAAACAGCCAGAAGTTTAGGGAGAAACTGGCAAAAGCACGGATTTCTCCGCTGGGGAGATAGCCTTGCCAGAAATTAATGTTCCTGTTGCCGACGATGAGGCCCTTCTGTTGCCAACCAAACATTGCATGCATGCGCACACATACACACACATGCACACACGCCATTTGCCCGAGGCCCGTCAATCTCTCCCATCAAATGATAAGCAGCAATTGTTCTGATGATTAAGACATGCCCCAAAGACAAGGCGGGTGAGGATCTCCGTGTGCCAGCTTAATTATTGCCCTGGAGGGGGGAAAACCGAAATGAAAGACGCGAAGGCATTTGGGAACTGAAAGGAGAAAGGAGGCAGTGTTCCCCATGCCTCTGACACACACCACTCCCCAAGCGACGTCATTTCCCCACACCCCACGGTGAGCCCGTTCGGCGTGGCACGCCCAGCTTGCTCCCTATGGCAGCATCTCGTGACTCGTATCCAAATTAAATCGGCACCCGGCCCTTGTGCTGACTTGCTGGATAGGGTGACGCTGTTTCTGCTCTTTCCAGGGCTCCCCAGATTTGGAGGGGGGACAGGGAGTTCTCCACCAGCAGCCTGGAAAATTGGTGGAGCTATCTCAAAGCCTTGAATGCTACAGATGAATCAGTTTCTTATTTTCTACATATCCACCAGCATTGTTGTTGTTTAGTCGTTTAGTCGTGTCTGACTCTTCATGACCCCCTGGACCAGAGCATGCCAGGCCCTCCTGTCTTCCACTGCCTCCCGCAGTTTGGTCAAACTCATGTTAGTAGCTTCGAGAACACTGTCCCACCATCTCGTTCTCTGTCGTCCCCTTCTCCTTGTGCCCTCCATCTTTCCCAACATCAGGGTCTTTTCCAGGGAGTCTTCTCTTCTCATGAGGTGGCCAAAGTCTAGGAGCCTCAGCTTCAGGATCTGTCCTTCCAGTGAGCACTCAGGGCTGATTTCCTTCAGAATGGAGAGGTTTGATCTTCTTGCAGTCCATGGGACTCTCAAGAGTCTCCTCCAGCACCAGAATTCAAAAACATCCATTTTTTGGCAATCAGCCTTCTTTATGGTCCAGCTCTCACTTCCATACATCACTACTGGGAAAACCATAGCTTTTATTATACGGACCTTTGTTGGCAAGGTGATGTCTCTGCTTTTTAAGATGCTATCTAGGTTTGTCATCGCTTTTCTCCCAAGAAGCAGGCGTCTTTTAATTTCGTGGCTGCTGTCACCATCTGCAGTGATCATGGAGCCCAAAAAAGTAAAATCTCTCACCAGCATTACTCGGAGGAAAATAGGGATGTCCTATTCCATCCCCTCCAACGATTCCCCCATGAAAATAGGGACGTCCTATTCCATCCCCTCCAACATTTCTCCCATGAAAATATGGACGTCCTATTCCATCCCCTCCAACGTTTCTCCCATGAAAATAGGGACGTCCTATTCCATCCCCCCAACGTTTCTCCCATGAAAATAGGGACATCCTATTCCATCCCCTAAAACATTTCCCTGATGAAAATAGGGATGTCCGGCGCTGTGGGTAAAAGCCTCAGCGCCTAGGGCTTGCCGATCGAAAGGTCGGCGGTTCGAATCCCCGCGGCGGGGTGCGCTCCCGTTGCTCGGTCCCAGCGCCTGCCAACCTAGCAGTTCGAAAGCACTCCCGGGTGCAAGTAGATAAATAGGGACCGCTTACTAGCGGGAAGGTAAACGGCGTTTCCGTGTGCAGCTCTGGCTTGCCAGAGCAGCGATGTCACGCTGGCCACGTGACCCGGAAGTGTCTCCGGACAGCGCTGGCCCCTGGCCTCTTGAGTGAGATGGGCGCACAACCCTAGAGTCTGTCAAGACTGGCCCGTACGGGCAGGGGTACCTTTACCTTTATTCCATCCCCTCCAACATTCCTCCCATGAAAATAGGGACGTCCTATTCCATCCCCTCCAACATTTCCCTGATGAAAATAGGGACGTCCTATTCCATCCCCTCCAACGTTTCTCCAATGAAAACAGGGACGTCCTATTCTCCATCAGGAAGCTTCTCCTGCGTTTGATCTCTCCCCCCATAGACGTCGTTTGAACATCAACATCGGTCCCCTTGAGCCAATTGCAACCTCTCTGCCTCACCGACCTTGCAGGATCGTTGTGAAGAAAAAAATGTGTGAGGGAAGGGATCTCGTACAAAAGCTTCAACAGATAAAGGGAATGAAGGAAAATTGTAGCTCTAGTGTGCCTTGAGTCCCTGTCAGGGGAAATTGCCTGGATATAACCAACAGGGTCCCACAAACCTTTGGAGAAAGGAGGAAGCGGAGGAGGCAAGGCCTCTCAATGGCTTCAAGAATGGTTTATCTTATGATAAAAGTCTGGACAGTGGTATCTTGGGTTAAGTGCCGTATTTTTCGCTCTATAAGACACACCAGACCACAAGACGCACCTAGTTTTTGGAGGAGCAAAACAAGAAAAAAAAATATTCTGAATCTCAGAAGCCAGAACAGCAAGAGGGATCGCTGCGCAGTGAAAGCAGCAATCCCTCTTCCTGTTCTGGCTTCTGGGATAGCTGCGCAGCCTGCATTCGCTCCATAAGACGCACACACATTTCC